CATCCAATCAAAGGACGAGAAAATGCTGACGTTATCGTTAGCCAGCTAGATGGCCCTGGTGCTGCCAACTCGAAATCTGATTGGTTAAAGCAACGGTTTCATTGCCATTGATTTAAGCTAACGGAAGCCTGCACTGTTGATTCTGAAGGCCTTAAGGCAGATTTCTTTGACCCTGGCAACAGGATTGCTGAAATATGATTGGATAAAAGCTCTAATATAAACATACACTGCTGGAAGCAGTGCAACCAAGAGAAAAGCTATGAAATGAAGAGAATAGACTATTGGAAATAATTTAATACACATTCATGGAAAAATATATTAAAACTAAATCAGTGATTCTGATAGTGTTTAGGCCAGCAGAGAAGGCTTTGCTGGCCCTGACGTCCACCACTGTTGTTATGTTATGGGACACAAATATTATGTGTCCCCAAATAAGCCAAAAGGCGACAGTGGCAAGGAACCCAAACTCCATCAGTGACAGAAATAGAGAAAAAAACCTTACGAGAAATCAGGCTCAGTTGAGGGGCCAGTTCTCCTCTGGCCAGAAGAAACAACATGGTGTGGTTTAATTCCAGGCAAGACATTTTGTGGACTGGTATTATTCAGAAAAGTCATCCAGTTCCTTCTGCTTCAAGATTGAATACATCACATGGTGAAGGGATCGAAGCTGGCCACAGGGTCTGTGCAGAGCTTGAAGTGTCTACTTTTAAATAAAGTAAGTCATATCGAAAACAAATATTCTCTGATAAAGTAATCTGTATGAAACCAATGAGAGGTAGTTTTTCCAGTCTGAGCTCATTATCTGTAATGTGGTCACACCCACACACAGCGTGCGCTATTCATAAGATAATCATCCACGTGAAATGCGCAAACATGTAAACGCCCCCATTACCTCCGTAAACAAAGCAGCATGATTCATCTAGGCTACTTTTCATTTTTGAAAGAAGACGCACTGAGAAAAATAAGCCTAGTATTTACATCAGAAGAAGAACGCGATGCAACACACCGCTTCATCCAGTGGAGCATATAATTTCTGATGAGTAAGTAGTGTTTCTTATTTGCATTACTTAATGTGTTATTGTGGGAAACTTAAACACATTTACTAGTTGGGTTTTTCCAAACTATAATTCCAGACTAAAATGTGAAATGAGTGAAACATTTTGAAATATGATAGGCAATTTTCATTGCATCTAAATGTTGTAAGATGCGAGGATGTTTTATGATCTATATAATATAAGGTAATATGATATAAAAGTAATATGAGTGTTTACACT